CCCCCCCCCCCCCCCCCCCCCCAGCAGACAGACAGTGTTGCAGGAGCAGCAGAAGGGAGTCGGATTTTTTTAAGTCCTAGGTGAAGCAGGTGAAAATATACCCTCTACTCTCACTTCCCTTCTATGCTTAGCTGTATATTCCCTCCCCTCCCTTTCCCACTGCTGCCTCTATCTCTAGCTGACAAGGGACTCGGGACCTGTTTCTGCCCTGTTGAATCCTGGCTGCACATGGAGCCAGACTCGGGTAGAGACAGGTGCAGAAGTGGGTGGGTTCCTTTTCCTGTTCCTGGGCTTCCAGGGATCACCCAGGGGACCTGACAGGGTGGAGGAATCTGCCCGTTGCTGCTGCCTTTGACTGAAACCAGCTCTATGTAGAGCCTGGTTGGAGTGGCATGAGTGGCTCTGGTGCTCCTCCTCCAGCCTCCGCCCTTGGGACAGCAGCAGTGGTGGGTGAGAGGGGTAAAGTGAAGGGAGGAGAGGGGATATGCTGCTGAGAATGGACGGGAAGGGAGTGGGGGGCATTGTTACTTACTTTCTGGCCTGAGTCCCCAGCTGCTCCTCCCACAGATTGGTCCACTGAAAAAGGCAGGGGGTGGTAAGGAGGTGTATCTGAGCTACTGCATTCTCCCCCTGAGATCTACCCCAGCAGAACGAAAAATAAAGAGGAACCCAATACTCCTGTAGCAAGAAAACAGCTGCATAACAGCAATAACTAGTGACCAGGTGAGTAATAGGGGGAGTAAGATCCAAGGGTTGAAGCATCTCCTTCAACTCAGCTTGCTGCACACCTCCTATTTTTAACCAATATGGTGGAAAATAAGATGAGAAGATGATGCAAGAAGATTATTTAGTTCACTTTTTATGTTCCTCATCTCCACAGTACTTCCCTGTCTACACATCTCTTTCCTCTTTTCCCTTTTCTCTTTTTCCTCTATTTCCCCTCTCCCCCACTTCTTTCCTACCTTTCGATGTTTTTAGAATGACTGTTTTTAGTTAATTATAACCTTCTCTCTTTCACAGTACAGAGGGCTTTTTTCTTTCCTTTTGCTTCTGCCTTGAGTTTGCCCTTATTTCCTGCTGTCTTCCTGTTCGTATATTCTTTGTCCAGTACGAGGTATTTTCTTTCCTATCCCGTATCTGTATGCTCCCACTCTTTCCTGAAAAATGTCCATACTGTGTTCTCTCTTTCACACGTTCTTATAATTTTGGTTTTATTTAGGTTCAGATGATGAAGGAAATGATCAACATGAAAATGAAACTCCCATTGATACTCAGGAAATCTTAAAGCCAGAAGTTGGTTCTGGAGCTCATATTTTGCAAGGAGCAAGCAGAGAAAAGGTCAGTGTAGCTGCTTTACTATTTAGTTTCTCATTTTGGCACCAGCTCAGGAAAAGACTTACCCATATAACTAAGTGCTTTCATGAGTTGGTACTTACATCCTTTCCAGTTTACAAATTCTTTTTATGATGTCCTTTTATTTATATACATAACTGAAATGTCCTCTAAAGGCCACAGTGGATACAACCCCATTCAAATCATAGGAAGATTTAGATCTAGATCCAAAATTTTCAGTTCATATTGGGCTTGCAATATTTGTTAATAGATGGGAAAGCCATATATTCAATTTGGATTATTGGTGGATTAGATTAAAGGAAGAAATGTAGGGGTGGGGGGAAGGACCAACATAAGGCTATGCATAAATGTAACTTGTGAAGTACTTTAAATGCCACTACACTGTGAGCTGCTTAAAAAATTCAGAGTTTCAGCTGCAGACAGATATGGGGCCCCAAGTGTGCCCTGTAGACGCAGTGTTTTAAAATCACTGAAATGCCATGCAGCATGCTGTCCAGTCAGGAGATGCAACAGAGGGCTGCACGGTCTTGAGAATGCCCCTCACTCCCTACACTGGGAGCACTGTGGGATGCCAGAGGACCGACTGACCCCTTGTCACATTCCATAGAAGTATCTGTGTCGTCCAGGGTTATTTTTGGAGTACCTGGGTTATTTGTATAAAGCTGTATAAGGTGTGTGTATCTGTCTGCTCACCCTAGGGCTAAGACCAAAACAGGAGCCTCTAAAGCAGTGATTCTCAACCAGGACACCACAGCATCATGGGGTACTGTGAGATACTTTTAAGGGTACCATGGGGGTACCCTTACGATATTTGGTATGCAAACACATACACTTGATTCACAAAATGAATGCAGAAATTTCAAATAGGAATCCAGTGTCAAAAAAATTCTGACCTGCTGTGGTCTTTCTGAGATTTTTGCAACAGAATTGGTCTATTATTTTTTGCACAGTCAACAAAGAAGTGGACGCTAAGAGCTGGCATTTTCCAAGCAGTGCCTTGAATACAAAAAGATTGAGAACCATTGCCATAGAATGGTGCTTTTTCTTTAAAGGCCATCTTGAGTTAGCTCATGAGGTATAGCATATAGATAAAGATCCTGTTTAACACATAGCTGTGTTAAGTGATAGAAGATGGACTCAAACGGCATTGTCAGAGCCAAACCTCCTTTGAGGAGTACAGATCTGAAATGTATGTCTCTTTAGAACTGTGAACATATTCCCATCTTCCAGCATCTGTGCCATAACCTTTTGTTTTAAACTGCTGAAATTGCTGGGAGAGGTGGCAAAAAGCTTACATGGGTTTGAAAGCCACTTGTGTTGTTCCCAGTATACTTTACTATGTTACGATGTTTTTCATGAAGTTTAAAAAAGGATACACCCATTTCATTCAGTAACTACCAACAGCACATCTGAAATTTCTTGGCTAGTTTAAGCAAGGGATCCCCTTAAATATACTTTCACAAACAAATGATCATCCACAGCAGCTTAATGCTCAAAAGTGGAGGGGTTCGGCTAATAGAAATCAATTGGTATTTGGCCCGAGTACGGACAGCAGATGCCAACCCTGGATGCTTTCCTAAGAAGTGCCTAGTGCAGGTTAACAAATGTATATTATTCATTAATATATTGCTGGCCTCTAAGAAATAAAAAAAAAATAGCATCTTTAAATTTAAAAAATCCATTGACTGGTAAATGGCAACCTTCTTGGCAATCGCAACATAAAGGCTAAGTCTTGATTGGGCACAGTGGTTGAACTACTCTGTTTTTTTTTACCACAAGACAGCATGCTCCTCCCACTCTAGGCCAAGAGCGAGGCATACCAGTAAGATGTGGTGGGGAAGCTTGTCGCTGTTGTTACAACTGCTTGGATAAATGCAGTTTAGGCCCAGCCATCAGATTGATGCATGGGCATTACATTCAGTTTAGAAAAATGGCAGCTAAAAATCAGGAGTATCTGAAGACTGCCAAATTTACGTGTCTCAGCTGAACTTCAAAAAACCCCGATGTATTCCATATGGGAGTCAGACAATATGACGTGGGGAATTGCGCATTTTCAGAAAATTAGATGCTGGAGAAAATTAGATTATGTCCCAGCATCAGTTATCCTGGACATTGGCTAGTGCTTCCGTGATGATACAACAAAGCGCTTGGAATAATTTAATCAGAAATTAAGTTAATGATATCATGTCAGTGCCTAGGCCAGTATCCATAAATCCCTTATAAAGCACAGAGGCTAATCAGGCACTTAAAATTCATTTTTTCAATCAGACTGCATTTGGCAAAAATGATCCTCTTTGCGCCTGCCCAGGAGCAGGAGGGGGAGGGGAAAGGACCTTTTCCTCACTGCCATGCAGCTCACGTGGGGCTAGGAGCAGTGTCAGGCTTTATGATCTCTTGAGCAGAATGACTGCTTCAGTCTAATGCCCCTACCACTGCCAACTACCACAAAGGGACAGACCTACTGTTATGTAGAGCAAAGCTAATCCCACGTGGTAGGGAGGGACTCATTTTATGGGAGTATTGCAGCTCTGTGATTCCATAAAGCCTTGCTAAATCTAGTGCCTAATAAAGTATGTGGTCTTAAATGTAACACAGCATGGAATATTAAATTAGGTGTCTTGGCCTACTACCCCATAAATGAGTGGACTATTTCAGCCAAATAACTGCAGATCCTAATAACTGCAAATCCTAAATGGTATGCTGCCGGAGTTTCGAATAGCATTAGCAATTTTATTAATCACTGTACCCTCATCCAGAACTACTCGGGGTTACCTATCCACTAACTTAATGCTGTCCCTCCCCATGTCCTTACCTGTGTATCTTTTAGATTAAGCACTACTCTCCTTTCTTACTCCACTCTGTTATGGTTTGAAATTGCAGTACAACGCACACTGAGCTCACTCACCAACAAATGCAGAGTTCAGGAGGATAGCTATGATGTGATATGATATATTTCAGTTAGCAATATATTGCTGCCTTTTACCTGCTGTTTCTGTCAGTCCTAGTGCTGATAGTGGCGGTTTATAATGAATGGTGACAGGGTAGTTTAGAGATTGGTCATGGGAGTTAGACACAGGGATTCATTTCAGCTTTAAAATTTCATCTAAGAATTTACATAGCATTACTTGCTATTTTTACTTCTTATGACTCAAGCAGTGTATAGAGCTATTAATCTATACATGTTGAGTGCTTGTACGTGCAATGGGGGTTTACTTCTCCCTAAATTGAAATGGTGGGTTTTTTAAAATCTTACCATTTCCACTGTTTCAATGTAGGGAGCACTAAACCCCTGTTGCATGTACACATATAATGGGGCCTGATCCTCCCCCACCGCAGATTACCTGCCCCTCCTGTAGTGGGGGGATGGAGGGGTGAACTGAGCTGTGTGGGGCCTGGTGCTTCCCTGTGCAGCAGCAGCACCCCCCAGATGGCACCTGCCCACTAGCACCCAGCTGGAGCAGTCCCAGGAGACACTGCCACCGCAGAGAGAAGCACCGGGCCCCACGGAGCTCAGGGACTGCATGACCCAGCAGGAGCTCATGCAGGCAGGCTTGACTGGGTGGCAGGGAGGAGCAGTGAAGGGCCTGATTTTTTTTATTTTTTTTTTTTTCCTTTCCTTTTTCCAGAGCCTGCCTGCCTGAGCTGCGTGGGGCCCAACACTTCCCTCCGCAGGGTCGGCGCCCCCCCCTCCAGGAATACCTGGGCTGGGTGCCAATGGGCAGGTGCCGCTTGGAGGGTGCTGCCACCATGGAGGGAAGGACCAGGGTCCCCCACAGCTCAGGGGCCACTTGGCCTGCCAGCAGCTTGTCTCCCTCCCCTCCCCCCTCATGGGAAAAGCAGGTAGGCTTCAGTACCCCATGTACCATCCCTGCCACCTTTCCGCCACCTGGGAATGGCTGGCTTGCCCCTGGGGCAGAGCAGCAAGGTGGCAGGATGGCAGCTGGGTGTGCTGGCAGCAGAAGGCAGTGGGGATGGTGCACAGGGCACTGGAAGCCGCCAAGCCTGAGCTTCCCTGAGCCCATCGCTTTCCAGCACCCTGTGCACCATTGCACTAAACTAAAACACCTCGGAGGGGTTTTACCTTGCTACGTTACAAAGTTGTTTAATGCAGAATGCGTCGCCGAGTGTGTAAGTAGCAACACCATTGAAGTGGTGCAAAAGGGCATTTAAGCCACTTCAAAGGCCAATTTTGTTGTGTACAAAGGCCCAGTAAGGCCAGAAGGAACCATTTTGTCCTTCTACATAGGATAAGCCAAATAACCTCACACACAACCTCTGCATCAAGTCTGTTATTTCTATTTAAGCTATATCATATCTCTTTAAAAGGTATTTAGTCTTTAAAGACTTACTGGCGTAGTTTCTTAAATCTGTCAACATAAGACATATTTTCCCAGACTTAGAATAATTTTTGCAGATGTTTTTGAACACTTTCCCAATTTCTTCGTCTTTGATGTGTGAACACAAATGTGGACATAGTATGCCAGCAATGGTCTCACTATTGTCTTCTACATAGATAATACCACTTCCCTATTCCTGCTTGATATGCCCCTATTTACAGATTCAAGGGCTGTTAGCTACGATATCATACTAGGAACTCATGTTGAACTCTTACATAACGTGGATAGAATTTTGTTTCACTGTGCAAGTGTCACTTGTGTAGTTTTTAGCCATCTAGGTCAGTTGTGCCTAACCTTCTGGCCACACGGGCCAGATGTGTGGTGTGGGGCCAGACCATAGGCTGGATCTATGTGTTGAGTTAATGTGCAGGGTCAGTCCCTGGGTGCAGTCTGGTGTGCTGGCCTGACTACATGTGCTGGCTCAACAACATGTATGTCTTGATCTCATGTACAAGACCCAGCATGCTGCAAGATAGATCTGGCCACATGCCAGCCTGACCCCTGTGCACCAGCACCACTTTATAGCAGTGCGATCTAGTATACAAACCCATGTAATCTGGCGTACAGAGGACTCCCCACAGGTCCAGAAATTTGGCATCAGGGGAGCTTCAATGAACCATGCCACTGCTCTCCCCACCCCAAATTTTTGGACCTGTGGGGGGACCCGTGGGTGAAATTACATGACTGTATGTGCCAGAGGTTGAGCACCTCTGATCTAAGTCATGCGAAGAAACTCTGTTTTGCCTTGTGTAATGGCTGAGCCATGTTTATCCACTAAAATGACTTAAGTGACTGTTTTCACCCTACGCAACTCAGTCTTTCCCTTCTAAGAGGATTAAACCCTAATATCCTACATCACAAGACAGCAGCCAAATCACCCTAATGACAAACCAGGTGGGCCTGAAAGCTCCATCTTGTGGAGGCTAGGCTACTGGACAACCAAGAAAGCAAGCATCCTGAGAACTGCAGGAGAGCGAGTTGGAAGGAACTTGATTCTCTGGCTCAAAGTGCTGGCTGCTGCTGTAGGTAGCAGGGAGGAAGGAGACCCTTGCTTTCACTGTTTTTTATGCAGAGTCATTTGAAAAACAACATAAACAGCATTTGAGCAGAGATCAGTCTTCTTTACCTGCTTGAAACTCCCTCTGTCAGGCTGGGATAGACTAAAATGTTCTCCACTGTCAGATCTCTCCTCACGTCACACCTCTCCTGTGACCTTTCTCCCCACACACCTAAGATGGGCATATAAGTCTAACCAGTAGTAGGTACTACTATAGCAATGTAGATGTTAAAACAGTAATAATAATAGGGGAAGGTAATAAAGCATATAATTGTATCTTTTATCTTTTTTTAGAGTCAAAAAGGTGAGAAAGGTCAAAAAGGAGTTCAAGGCCCAGCAGGGCCCCCAGGGAAGTCAGGACTGAAAGAAATGCAGACAGGGATTCAAGGACCTCCTGGACTCCCAGGCAACCCTGGGCAAGATGGCCAACCTGTAAGTACTGCGTCTTGGTGGAAGTAAATCATGTCATTTAGAAAAGCCAATGTCTGTTCCTCACATACAGATGAAGGGCTAATCCTTCACTACCTTGCACACTGTGCAGTGCCAGTGCAGGTGTCTAACCCTGGCAAAGTGGGTGTCTAACCTTACCAGATCAGAATAGTAGCCTTTCATGCTCTTAGCACAGCACAAACAAATATACAAAATGCCCAGCCACAGAGAATAGGGCCAAAAGGGTATACAACACACAAAACTGCTGCTGTGTTAGCCAGCTTCCCAGCAGCAGCAGTTACCATTTTAAGAAACACTGGATGGCAGCTTTTGAAGTTACAGGGATTTATATTACTGTAGTCCCCACATAGAACGTGAATTTTCAGTTCACATAGTATGTTATAGATTGGCCTTCCCTTTGTGATCATAAATACAGCATGGCCCCAGTTAAATGAAAATGCATTGTGTAACATGATAGTGCAACACATGCATCCATTACATGATAATGGAACATCATTCCATTTTGGTATTTTCTCACAGCATAAATTGGCCATCAAGATGTAGTTAATTGTTTTCATCTCATTTTTCTATTTGGTATTTGTTCTGTTTTCCTTTCTAAAATAGCTGTTGTCTTTCATGGCATCCCTGGTAAAGATGGATTGCCTGTAAGTACCTTTATCATGTATATTTTTAGTTCACTGGAAAAAAAACAACTTTTATACATCTTTGCCTGACACTCAGCTAAGTTAAATTTAAGATTTACAGTGCTTTTTTCAGAAGCCTCTTCTTGGTGTCTTAACACCTACAATAGGTTTTAAAAGAAAGGAAGAAGTCTCTAAGGTTTCAAAATACATCAAAAACAGTCTGTTTCAGCACAGCAGTTTAGGCAGATTTAAAAAACCATGTGGCCTTGTTTATTTTGTTTTAAGCATGCTGTACAAGGTTGGCAAGTAATGTAAATTGAATCTTTCCATTTTGATAGTGACTGTCAATATTTCCATCTTGATAGGTAACATTGTTACCTAAACAAAGGGATGTACTGAAACCCCAGTTTCACAGCTGCTCTTTCAATTCCTCCCTCCCAGACCTCAGTGAGGTATGAGCTTCTAGGATCAGATGGAGTTAGAGATGTGGAGCTCCTAAGCTGATTCACCCTGGCAGTCTGAGGAGGTGGGCTCATTGTACTGCAATCCAAACTTTATCATCTTTCTCTGGGGGAGGAAGCCAGAAGGGTCCTACAGAGAGCGATCTAGAAAGAGTCAAGGTCTAATAGGAAGTTTCTGTTTATTAAGGAAACTCCAAGAAGGTGATGAACTTGAGTTGTTTCCAGTGTATGCAGGGTGGGAGTGCATGCCACTACCCAGAACTACTGTACTCACTGACCTCCCAGCCACTACTACTTCCCTGTCTCGTTTCTCAACTCATCAAGTATTCTTCCATAGCTCCCTGCTGCTCTTCCTTCACAGTGCTCTCCATTCTTGGCTCTAATCTATTAACAGGTCGGCAGGATTAGCCTCCCTCCTTGCCCTCAGTTACTCAGTACCTACTTATTTCCACTTCTTCAGTGTCCATATTCTCTATCATGTGCCTCCCTCCCTCCCTTTCCCCAAGCCTGCAGCCACCCCCACCCACTCCCACATTATATTGTCCCCATGCCCCTCTTGTCTGCTGTTATTCATCATGATCCTACTGCATTTTCAAGTATTCCCCAACTTCTTTTTCCCTCCCCTTCAGTTTGCCCAGCCTTACCCCAATCAGGTACCCCCACCTTCCTTCCCATGGGCCACATTACACCAAATTCTGCAGCCCAGCGTCCCCATTCTCCTCTTACATGTGATGACATTTGTCATTTGCAATGCGCAAGGGCAATGCCTCTTTCACCTACCAAAACCTAACTTATTTTCTGTGTACCACCCAGCTGCCATAATTTCCCGATTCTTCCCTGTTATGAAAATCCAAATGCTGCAACCTTCATTACGAATAATAGACTTACCCATTAAGACATCTTAAACATGGTTGCTAAAACCATCCTATCTGTTCCTGCTCTCCTCAGGTACCCCTAAAGCAAGAGTCACATTTTTATGGTAATTAAAAGTAATCCAGTAGTGAAGGGGTTAATTAGTTAGCCCAACAGGTGCACAAGTGATCAATTTATCTGAAACTCTATGTACATACTTTTTGTGCAGAAAAATCTAGCTATTGCTGCATACATTTAGCACAAATTAAGGAGAAATCGTTTCATACAAGAGCTAGGAGAGAATTTGTTTTCAGCTTTGTACAGAGTTCTCTGGCTCTGGCACTCTAATTGTGAGCAGAGCATTTTTAAACAAAAAACAGTGAAATAAACATAATGTGGGAATTTATTCAAACATACAAAGCTGTTTCTACCAAAGCAATTTTGAATTTGAATTCTTCTTAACTTGTGTTCGTACTTGTTTTACCTTTTGCAGTTCTATGTAATGCGAAGAGTCCTATTTCCTTCCCTTGATAGCAACCGGTTATAAAGGTAGTACACATTTTTGAGGTCTAACTTTATAGATGGTTGGAGCATTTTATGGCATGATAGCTACTTTGCACACATAGCTAGTCTCAAGGAAATTGTGTAGCTAACCAGTTATACTGTAACATATACTGCATATCAAGGGCTCATTTCCTGTGCAATTCTAAATGTCTTGAACACCCATAACACTTAATGTGAACTGAGTGTACTCAGCACAAGGCACGACTGGCACTCTAGGAATGTCAGTTGGACTTGAGTGTATTCATCACCTCTCACTGAGACATCCTCCATGATCTGTTTATTCCCTGGTCAGCAGCATATCACAGAAATATCTGAGCATCTTCTTCTCTATTGCCCATTACCTTGTATGAAATTGAGAGTGGAGATCTTCCCAGTGTTCACTTCTGATAGCTTAGAAAGGAATAATTTAGGTGAAGCAAAGGTCAGGTTCTGGCTTGAAGTTTATCTACTACTACTGCATTGGGAAAATTTGTTTACCAGGGCACTCTTGGGGAAAACTAGGAGTAATGGTGACAAACTCCTGGAAGACCATTTCAAGCTCCACATTAGGAAAAACTACTTCACAACTAGGGTGTCCAGACTGTGAAATAAGCTCCCTCCAGAGGTGGTGCAATCGCCTACCCTGGAAATCTTCAAGAGGAGACTGGACCGTCACCTTGCTGGGGTCACCTGACCTCAGTTTTCTTTCCTGCTTCTGGTCTTGTGCGGTGGGCTGGACCTGATGATCTTCCGAGGTCTCTTCCAGCCTTACAACCTATAAATCTATGAATATAGAGGAGGTCTAAACGTGATTCTGTTCCACTCTTCAATTCTGAAAAATACTTTAATTCATGGACTTTTGTACCACAGTGACCCTTAAGATTTAGTCACAAAAGCTAGTGAAGGAGGAGGAGGATGCCCTGCTTATGTCTTGCATTAACAGTTTTTCAGGGACTCGAGCAAGACGGAACAGGAGAGCACTTAGACAACTAAATTCACTTAAGTGCCTAATTGGTGGAATAGAATGTAGCCCTTAATATGTAAAAAACAGTTTGTCATAAGCATAGATTATTTCCTAAGATAAATCACTAATAAACTGAAATCCTGCGTGTATACCT